GCGTGGGACCGGCCAGTTGCTTATTTCGAGGGTGGTATGCTATTCGGCTTGCCTTTGTTCCCGAGCGCGCCGACGGTAGCGGTAAACTATAAAGTAATCGGTCGAGCAGCGATGTTATTCTTTAGACGAGGACAGAACATAACATGCTTTCCCTTTTTAATACTAGTAAAAATTCGTGAATGAAACATGTATGTATATAATACATATTGCCTCGAAACAGGCAACAGTTTCCAGCCTCGAAATTAGCAACTGGCAGATCCCGAGCGAGTTGCTTGTTACGAATCAATGTAGAATCAAATGAATAGATCACGCTCTAATTCCTAACTTGTCACACTTCACCTTATTTTTTTACAATTATGTGAATATCAGTATACAGCTACATATGTATGTGTTGTGTTATTATTGTGTATTGTATATGTATAATTCATATAGTATTATTATATTGTATATTCTATATACTGCATTACACTTAAATAATGTTTCATTTGATTGTTATATAGATTTATTCAAATTATTAACTAGGCATTAAAATTAAAAAAAAAACAAACCAGCACTATAATTTCAGAAAATATATTTTTCGTAATACTCCAAAATCGCTATGTGTTAGAGTGAGAAAACAATACATATGTTCTGTCCTCTTTCCACTATACTATTCAGTCGACCGTGAAAATTTATGACTTCTTCGGTTTCGCGGACCTCTCACTCCTTCTCGGATCTTTCACTCGGCGGCGGACTTCAATCAAAGAAGTGGGGATAAAAATTTGCTAATTTCGAGGCTCGAAACTGTTGCTTGTTTCGAGGCAATACTGTATAAACCGGTTTCTAGCTATAGACGCACATATGCCATACCACAATCAACTGGTAATTGGCAGCAACGTTTACTGAGGTATTTTTAATTTTACGCCGCCTCCGAAAAGGTTGAAATGTATTTAATATACTACCTAACGAGTAAATAGGTTTCATTCATATCTGTGACGTAATTGTATGATTGAATGAAATAGAAATTACTTCATTTGGAAACAGAAATTATTTTATACTTTTTAGTGCATTTCGAAGTCGGCGTATTTTTTTTCTTAAAATTATTTTATCTTGGGATTCGACTCGACACATTGAAACAGTGCTATTAACGATTACAATATTAAGAATATGATTACGAAGAAAAGAATTGTTTAGATCACTCTCCAAAACTGTCTTCTTGAAATAAACTTACAATTCTACGATTAGCTCCGAATTCGACAATGTCATTCAGTTGCGAGATGAATCCAACTTGTATGTTGCAAAAACAAGTATTTACAGAATTATTGTGCCATCTTCGCACATTGTTAGAGAGAAAATTCTTTAAAAAAGGAAAATAAATCATACTTTCAGTAAGTGGAGGCTTTTATGTATTAAAGCGATTTGCTTATGTAATGAAAAATGTCAGAAAAATGTTTATTCTATAGAAAACGAATACTTTATAGTTACAGCTTGTTTTTTCTATCTTACACTTAGTTAAAAATTAATCGCACATAAATGAGCCAGATGTTTTTGTGGCGTCGATTTAGCGGCTGCCACGTCCCTGCCTAAATTATTGTATTTAGTCTAGCTTTAAGATTTTAGGTGTGAATGAGATGCGTTAATGAATTGTTTGCCTTAGTCCGAGTGGATGCTGCGTAGCGTTTGCGAGAGGATGTTTGGATCATTAGTTCGAGTGTCGCATTGGGTGTCCGAGTTCGAGGAATGCCTAAGAAATACGCGTGTATCGTTGAATGATTGGTTTAGAGTGAGAGCGATTCGGTTTGGAAGAGGAAAGAATGATTCCAAGTGAGAATACATCAGGGTGTGTGGGGGTGCGTGTTTTAAGTACGAAAGTTAGTCAGTTCATCGCTGTTAGTCGGAGAGTAAGGTCGTGGACCTGCTTGCAAAATAAAACGGAAAGCTAAGGGTGAAAAGCAAAGTATTATTTTCCCTTGCCGCGTCCTCATCCCATATTTTTAATTTGTACCAGCACAATATGCGAAAAAATATATAATATTTCTTGAAATCCAAATTCGATGGTAGCTCGGTTTTGATTTCACCGACTTGCTCGATTTATGTAAAATCCTCCATAATATTTCTTCGCCACAAAATGGACAGCAATAACTACGATAGAAAAATACAATGAAAATTTCATTTTCATGTACGATAATGGATCGTTTCATAAATCTGCACATACAGTATGGTTTACCGAAAAGAATACAGTAATCCCCCCTATAACACGGTACTCTTATAACGCGTTTTCATACAACGCGATTTCATGTCCCTCGTATAACACGTGTTTCCCCCCATATAACGCGGGGATTCCCAGGTTATATTTCTGTACTGCGAAATTTATAATTTGACAGTTCACAATCAATTTCGCATACGTTTGCACATTGTATCAATTGTGTTCTTATAAAATTAAATTAAATTATTGTATTCAATTTGTGTTCCTAGTTTTTGAATTGTAAGAATATTGATTATATCTTGTTGAGGCTATTTGTTTTTCGCGCTTTATATCCATGTTGCGTTTTTCTTTTCTAAATTAATATTGTTTTGTTTTCTTGACGAACAAGAAGATATGCTCTTAAGTAAAGAAAATAATAAAAATTCGAAAGGTGAAACTTTTGAACATTCTACTAAAAAAAGATGTTCGTGGAACATTATTTCAGATAGCTCCGACAGCGAATAAACATGTAATAAAACTATTTTGGAATTATTTGATCTATTTGAAAATAAACGATAATAAAAGATAAACGTGAATCATTTTCACATACATAACGCGTTATACGAGGTCATACGAGTGCGTTATACGAGAATACTCGTACAACGTGATTTTCTATAACGCGGAACCCATACACCGTGTTATAGGGAGGATTACTGTATTCCGTTATTAGATTGGATTACATGAGTCTTTAACGTTAATTCCATAGAAAGTTCGTCGAAGTACCGGTATGAACGGTTTTTACCAAATATGTAATTGTAATTGTTCATGTTCAACTATAGATGAATTAAAATTTGTAATAACTGACACATGGAAGAATATAGAGAAAAGTATTGGAAAAAATTGTATTGGCAATAAGTCATATCGAATTTTCGATACAATACATGGTGGAAACTCAACAAATTATTAAGTCGCGTACTTTTATATGTAAAACGCTTCGTATGTTTCTAGAACGCCGGAAAATTAGTTTTTATGCAAACGAACTGAATATTTACGTTAATATTTTAAACTCTTTTTATATAATTTGTTGTTGAAATGCTGTGAAATAAGGTAATGATTGTCCCCTGAAGTAGTTTTCTACTGAAAAATCACATTAATAACTTCAAAAGATGTTGGCACATTTATGCAACGCATTGTATTATATTTTCTGTTCTATATTCTATAGCCTAGTAACTAGATAAGAAAAATGTCTTACCCGTATATTTTTTGAACGAGCTATGCTAATGGCTATGTGTGAAATTGCCAGAAGTAATCCTATTAAAAACACAGCGGACTCTGATACATCCATGGGATCAGTGGATGTTTGTAAAGCGTTTATTACAGGGTACAGAGACAGGAACGAATTAAGAAATGCTAGAAATTTGAGAATATTATAACATGTAATTTTTAATCTGCTTGCGTGGGAGTTAAGTGGTAGAAAGAATGCTGATGCCATGGTAAATCGCAGGAATGCGATTGCTTTTTCCGGCGTTGCATTCTTAAACATAATCGATTTTGGGTACACAACCACTGAGACTATTTATGCATGCACGTCTTACAGACGTGCCACGAATTGCCGTGTGTTTCCCTTTCACTTCAGTAATCGTTAAACAATCGGAGAAATGAACACTGACATTTACATTAAAATTTCCAAATTTTTTACTAAAAATACCAATAAACATTCGCGATGTATTGCTACGCGTTATTCTCTCTAACCACGTTACATATCACGTATTTGAAATTCTTAGTTCCAGGCACGAATAAACTTGTTTTGGAGACCGATGTTACATCAATCTACGACTACTATCAAATGACGCGTGGTCGAACGCAAGCAGGTCTATACCCCTTGTTCAATTCAAAAGTAATACGTTAGGGTTCTTGCAGCAGTAATAATAAACGTGTATTATTATCTCTGTATTCCTTTAAGTCATTCTGCGTCTCGCGTTTGAACGATAAAAACGATATTTTTGAATATGAGAAATTTTACACGTGTAGCAGATTATAGGGTGTGCGTTCATTCATTATTTCTGTAGAGTTTATGGAATAACAACTTTTCAGATAATTGCTGCACTCTCTGAAACATTACACTATCCATCTTTTCAATAAGGAAGTGATAGGTAATTGGTGTAAATCAGCGTAGTCACCTGTGTAATAGTCCGGAGCTACATATTGCAAAATAGTATGTATTGTTTCACTTCGGACGGAGTAGCAGTGCTTATCTGCAGTATTCTACTGGCAGTGTTAATAAGCGGTCGTCACGTTCTTGCGCTATTTATGTGGGATCGTAGGGTGAATAAAGCGATCTAGACTGATGATATGGAGTAGTTGCAATTTATTACTTTCACAGATAATCGTTACGAATGTTTCTCTTTCGCAAGTAATCGTAAGCGATTGACACGTGACATGTATGCTTTCTCTCACTCTCTCTCATACTTTCTTTCCCGCTCTCTCTCATACTTTCTTTCCCACTTTCCCTCATTCTCTCTCATACCCTCTTTCTCACTCTCTCTCACTCTTTCTATCTCTCATAATACAGATACATAATTATTAATCCCACATTTATATTTAATCTAAGTTTAAGAATTTTCATATGAATGAAATGGGTAAATGAGGCGTTTGCCTGAACGAGTCAATGCTAAATGCTACGTGGTGTTCGCGAAGAATGTTTGGATGACCGGTTCGAGTGTCACGTTGGTTGTTCGAGTTCGAGGAGTGCCTGAGAAATACGCGTATATCGTTCAGTGATTAGTTTAGAATGAAAGCGATTCGGTTTGGAAGAAGAGAAAATGATTCCGAGATAGAAGGCGTCAGTGTACGTGGGGGGAAAGGTTTTCGAACGCGAATTGAGTTCATAACTGCGATTCCAGGCGACCGGTCGAAGACTGTCTTGTAAAATAAAGTTCCCCGTCACGAGTCCACATCCTATATACTTGATTTTTTTGAAGTGTTGCAGTACGGTAAACCGCAGCAAAGGAAATACTGTAAGTGTTGTCACTTATTCATACTCTTTGGGAATCTGTGATCCTTTAATGATTCGCTATATCATATAGTTTCCATGCAGTAGAGTTAAGTAATTAGTTGACTGCGGTGATAGTAGGAATAATTCGCACAATCTTTTATAGAAATTTTCTTTAATGCAGATATTCTATATCAAGAATATAGAAGATTATTATGTTAAAACTAACACAAAAACACAGTAACTTAAAAGACTAAACGAATTTATTATTTAAGAAAAACGACTTGGAAGAATTTCTTTAACATTTGTTAATTACCTTTGATTTATGAATATTGAAAATACAATTCTAAATAACCCACTATATTTTATACGTGTGAAAAATTATAATGTCAGAGAAACAATGTAGATTTTATTTTATTAATATACGAAGATCCGATCAAAATCGAATGGTATCTTATCAAGTAATCGATAAATGCACGAACTTGATTACCGAAAATTCAACAGCTTCTTTTTGGTATGTGTGTTTTTTATATATTTTTTCTTTCTTTTTTTCAGGGTGTACCCGGAGCCACGGATGTGGAAGAGCCTACGTTCCCGGTCACCAAACCGCTCGTCGGCCTCCACGGGGACAACTGGCAGCCAGCTGTAGCGGACGCCGGGCCTGGAAACGAGCCACACCAGCCAATACCAGAAGCCGGTCCCAAGACCCGGCCAACAAATCCAGAAGCGGTAGCCCATCCCTGACGTAGAAATTCTTGGAGAGGGAGAACACCACGCACCGTTAGACGGCATGTAGAAGAGGCGCAAGTGAGTTGCGACCGCGAGAAGCCAAGTATCGAAAAGCTCTGTCATTTAGTGATCTCTTCAGTTCCGTTTCTTTTTTTTTTTCATTTTTCTCTCTTTTCTTTTTTGTTTCCAATTGTGGACACAAGTGCACCATGGGTCACCATTCTGCCTGATCACTATTAGGACGTTGTACTTTGGCAACGACCATCCACGACCATTCTTTTTGCGTGTGTGTATATGCAAGTGCTATGTATCGTGACCAGACCACAGGACCACGGCGATGAGAACCCTCGAAGCTTGATCCCTCCTTCAATAACACGCTAATTATAGATATCGTTTCTTTTTTTTGTAATTAGCTCTTCGGGTATTGTCTCCTTTTTGTATTTGATCCCTAGAGCGAGCGTGCATTTTACCGGTCACTTGTATCGCGGCTTCGTTTCCTTATGCCTCGCCTCCGTTTCTTTCGTTTTTTTTTTGTACTAACAACCTCCGCGCTACGAATTCTTTCCGCGTTTGGGGTGTGCGTGTGCGTGGGTCAATTATTATTTCTAGACCTTCCCTGAGTCGCGCTCCTATTCTGCGTTACCAGAAGGGTTACTACCCCGGACGAGTGCGAAAGCACTGACGGTCAGAAAGAGATTGATGCGTGGAGGGCTACTTTTTCTCGTTGCCTTCCTCCGCAAGGAACCTCTTTCCCATCTCCCCCACCCGCTACGTTACAAAATTAGTGCCCAATGAGAGACTCAGATAGTCTTGACCAAGAGATATGAGTATCCCAAATCAAACGACGCAACGGTTCATCCGTTTGGTTTGAAAATTGCGTTAAATTAAACGACGGGCATTTGTTTTCTTTTCGCAAGTGGGTAATAGGGAACCGCTTTTGTCATTTCGACACCTACTTAACAATTCCTTGTGTATAAATAGACTACCGCCTCCTGGGACGGCCGCGACCAGCGTTCTTCTTCCTCGGGTCCTTTCGTGGCTGGACCATCCTTGCCGGCGCGCGTCGTGGTTTGGGGGCGCACCCGCGAGCCCCCAGGCGGTGGTCCGCCGGCCGGTCTAGGTCGCGGCAGAGCGGGCATTCTAACTTCCCGGCGTTACAACTTTTTGCCACATGGCCATCTTCCCCGCACTTGTAACACAGGCGGGACCTGTCCTCTTCGCGGCTGCATTGCGCCGCTGCGTGCCCCCGATGTAGGCATCTAAAACAATGCATCGGTCTATGCGGGAGGACCACCACTCTCGCGTGGGTCCAACCGACCCTGACCTTCCCTACCGCCTCGATCTTGCGGCCCACCTCCAGGGAACACCTCATCCACAGTGTTCCCAGGCTCCTAGGTGTCCGCCTGATGGGCCCGACCTGGATTTCTTCAGGCGAGCATCCGCCAATCTCGGCTAAGGCCTCCTGAACTCCCTCGCTGGTAGCCGCGTCGTCCAACCCCAGGACCCTCATTTCCACCGTCCTCGTGGGCTGGTGGAAACGGACATCCGTGCCCTCAAAGGCCGGCTTCAGCCGGCGGAGCAACTCTGCCACCTTTTCGCGACCACCGGGGCCCGGGACTCCCAGGATGAGACCCCCGGTGGCCGACTTCTTAACTTTCAGCTCCTCGATCCCGATCTGCCGGATCTCAGCGCTTGGCACTGTCGCCATCGCCTTCTTCATAGCCTCGGTGTACGTTGACTTCCCACCTGGCAGGACCGTCAACGTGAGAGCGGCCATGGGCGGGGCCCTCGGCACCTGCACCTTTTTAGGTGCGGCCTTCCTACTTTGAGGCGCCTTTTTGGTCGCAGCTGTGGATGGAGCAGGTCCACATGCTGCAGACGCCGTCTGTTTGCTCCTCTCGGCCCTTTTGGCTTTCCGGCCGACCACCTTAGCCCAGGTCTCCGGGGCCGGAGGGGCTCTTGCCGTTGTTGGCGGCTCTTCCTGCATCTCTCGTTGTTGAGCAGGTGCTGGATCCCTCTCTCCTCTTCGTCCCCGTGAGGGGACCTCACGCGGGCACGTGGTCTCCTGGTTTCGTCCGCGTCGCACTTCCTCAGCGAGCCCCGTTACCGTAGCGGCCAAACCGGCGATCAGGCTCGACATGTGCTCCATTTCAGCCCTCCAGGGCTGTTCTACAACCCTTTGTTCCACTTGAGTGGGAGCAGGTTGTTCGTCTCCCCCGCCGCGTGGGCTCGGCGGTGTTGGTGGGGGTGGGGATGGCGCGTCCACCTCCGTCGCCCTCCTCTTCAGCGTATCCTCCCCATTAGGGGGAGAGGGCGGGCTAGCCCTCCTCTTACGAGGAGGGGTCTCCGACTCCATCGGGCGGGATGGAGATGGGGGGCAGAAAACTGGAGTGGCCCTCTTCATTATCTCCCTGCGAAGGCACGCTAATTCTTCCCGCATCTCGGCTCCATTATCTCCCTGCGAAGATGAGCCAATTCCTCCCGCATCTCATCGGTTTCCTTGCGGAGTTTCTCCATGTCTCTCTGGAGACGAATCTTCTCGGCTTTGGCAGCCGCCAGCTCTCCTCTGAGGTCTTCCACCTGTTGGGCTTCATTGCCCTCCGAGTGGGGCCTCTTGCCTAATTCCACTGCATACGCTTCAATGGAGTTCGCGGACACTCTCAGGTCCCTGACGGACGTCCCTTTAAGGTTTCGGGACGCAGCCGCTACCCGTCGAACGTGATCCGCGTACCGGAGGATCTCTGCCGCCAGATCCGCAGTCGGCAGGCTTCTCGCTTCCCTCCTGAGGTCGTAGGGGTCAGGAAGCGGCCGTGAGCCCTTGCACGGCTGTGGGACTTCCGTGCTGGGGTCCAGGGCCTGCTTCTCCTTCAGGAGCTTGATCTCCTCGCGGAGCGCCTGGTTATGGCGCTCCTTTGCCGCGGCGAGACCCACGTACTCTCCAGTGCTAGGTGGGCGGCCTCTCCTCTCCACTCGTGGCGATGCACTTCTGTCGGTCCATTCCACGTCTATGGACACCTCAGAGACGTCAGAGTCGCTGTCATCGTCAATGACGGGCATACTCCTGGACGCCGATCTTCGCTTGGGGGCGGCGGGGATAGCGAAAGTTCCGGAGGACCCTGATGGCCCGGCCTCCATACGTTCCCTCTTCTCGGCCTGGAGGTCCTTTTCATAGGACAGCTCTGAGTCCGTAGTGCAGGGAGTGTGCCCTGCACTACTTCCGCATCCGTCGCCTGGGGCGATCTTGTCTATGACATTCCTAGTGCGGCTAAGCCGGCCGAAGGACGGTGCCGGCGTGCTGCACCTGACCACCGGTATTGACACCACCGATGTCAGGAGTTTCTCTGCCCCCTTATTCCGTTTCTCCTCTTCCAAGCCGCTCTTCCCTGGTTGGCCGGTTTTAACGTTGCCGGCCACAACGGTTGAAAGATGCTTTGAATTCTCCATATACGTCCCACGAGAATGGTCGGAATAAATGTCACCCCGGGCAGAGCCGCCATACCCGGGGAAGCCTAGCTACTCGGGGGGATCGGCAGGTGCCCCCGAGGGAACCGTTAGAGACTGCCCAGTTTAACGTCCCGGCAGCCATGCAACTCTCGGCACGGTTGCCTGCACACCTTAGTTTGGGACGACCCCCCGAACCCCAATCGCCCCCTTTTCGATCCTCCGTGCGAACCTGTCCGGCATGGTAGTACCTGCCAGGGTCCGGAGACCCCGCCGGCATAGCCTCGCACATCATGGGAATGCATCTCTCGTTGTTGAGCAGGTGCTGGATCCCTCTCTCCTCTTCGTCCCCG